TAGAGAACTTGATAATTTTAATGCCTTCCGAAAAAACGTGAAAGACTATCTTTTGGAGAATTGTTTTTACACTTTAGAAGAGTTTTACGCAGCTAGTTGAATGTCGATTGTTAGTTTATATGTAATGATGTTGATGTTTTATATTATTTTATTTTATTTTATTTTATTTTATTTTATTTTATTTTATTTTATTTTATTTTACATTGCTTCCATGACCTCTCAAAACAAAGATGACGTCATTGGGGATGCTCGACAAGGGCCAGCAATATTTAGCAACACCGCTAAACCTCCGAAGCAATGGCCAACGCAAATAAGAAATAAACCAAATGTGGCAACCAGGGATGGTAATTCGACCGCACAACAACAGGCAACACTGCCAAGTTGGACAACTCAATCAGCTGAGGCGGCTGTCAATTCCATAGAGGTCAATACCAATGATATTAATAAAAATATAAACAAACAAAGAATCGAAATTATCAACTCGAAAACCCTAAACACGGCATTGATGGAAGTTGAAACTCGCAATGCAATGCAAAATATTCAAAAATTATACACGAAAAATGAGGACGATGACCAGTGGCAGGTGCAAAGACGAAAGCGCCGACGATATGTGGTGGGCGATAATGAGACAGAAATACAAGGGGTCCCAAAATCTGTCTCACTACACGTAACTAGGCTTGACCCAAGCACAAAGCCTGAAGACCTGAGAAATATGTTAGCTAAGCACTTTCCCGAGGTAATTTGTGAGCAACATCCATCCAAACATCCCACTCTATATTCCTCTATGAAAGTTACTCTCAGGCAAAATAACTTCCGCAATGCGTGGAAAAGAGAGATATGGCCAAATGGTGCCCTCGTATCTCGGTTTTTTGCCAAGAGGAGGAACCTGTCACAAACAGAGGAGACAGTTCCTCAGAGAAAATGAAAACTAAATCAAATATAAATATAAGTATAAATAAAACTGTTTCGCAATCAAAAAATCCCACTTCCACTTATGTTTCAAGTAACCATTGTCAGGTCTACTACCAAAATGTGCGTGGTCTAAGGACTAAGACTGAAGCTTTTTATACCAACCTGTTGACAATGGATCCCGATATAGTGACACTGACTGAGACTTGGCTATGTGATGGAATTTTCACTCAAGAGCTGATTGATGAGAGGTACACGGTGCTAAGAAGAGATAGAAGTACTGCTGCTAGAGGTGGAGGCGTTTTGATCGCTTTCGACAGAAGATTCCCTTATGAAATTATTGATAGTAATGTTGACTGTAATGTTGAATGTATTCTTGTAAGGTTGAAGTTGAAAAAGTATAATGTTATTGTCTCTGTTGTATATTTCCAACCAAACTCTAGTTTGGAAGTCTATAATAGTTTTTTTAATCAATTTGAATGTCTTTTAGATGACGAGCGGACAGGAGTATTGATATTGGGTGATTTTAACCTCCCTTTTTTTGAAATATGTGATAATGATAAAAACACCTTGCTTACTGAGTTCCTTAATCTCAATAATTTGAGACAGTTGAATAACATTAAAAATTTTAGGGACAGGTGCCTGGACCTGGTTTTGACGAACATGGAGATACCGCAAATCACTAGGTCTGTGCAGCCACTAGTTGCAGAGGACCCCTATCATCCTGCACTTGAATTTGGAGTTCCAACGAAGGATAAGTTGGTAAATTGTATATCCAAACAGTATGTATATGATTTCCCAAAAGGGGATTTTCTACTTCTATACAATCTTGTGAAAACCTGTGATTGGACTGAAGTACTTTCAATTACAGATGTAAATATGAGTCTCAATTTATTTTATAAAAAGGTGTATGGTCTTTTAGATAGAGCTATTCCAAAGAGACAAATCAAACATTCTTCCAGTAAAACCCGTTATCCACGGTGGTATTCCATAGATCTGATTCACAAAGTCAAGGAAAAGAATAAGCTTCATAAGCGTATATTGAGTAAGTGTGCTGATCCATCAGTGCAATTGCACTTTAGTGAATTAAGACAATGCATCAAGCTGCAGACCCAAGCAGAATACAACCTGTACAAGAATAATGTGGAACTTAACCTAAATTCAGATCCCAGTTCATTTTGGCAGTTTTTGCATGAGAAGAGCAAGAATCGAGGGATACCGGGGGAAATGAAATTTAATGAGAAATTGTACTCGGGTTCTGAGGATATAGCGATGGCTTTTGCTCAGCATTTTGAGTCAGTATATGAAAGACCCAAAGATGTAAGTAAATACATGGGGAATGTAAACGGATGTGATTTTAAATTTTCAGATGTGTCAGAGTTGAAAGTTGTAAATAGTATTAAAAGGTTGAAGCCTAAAAAATCGACAGGGCCTGATCAGATCCCTGCCTATATTTATAAAGGATTGGCTGAGTTCATAGCTCTACCGCTCAAACATATTTTCAATCTTTCTATTGGAAGTGGACAATTTCCTGATGCCTTGAAGAATGCTCAGATTACACCTATTTTCAAGAAAGGACGAAAGGACGAAATTAGGAACTATAGACCGATTTGCCTCATTAATATTTTAGCAAAAATTTTTGAAACAATACTTTATGATGATCTTTCAGACTTTCTAAAACCTAAAATTTCTAAATACCAGCATGGATTCTTAAATGATAAGTCAACAATAACAAACCTCTCTATATTCTCGGAAATGGCGGCTGAGGCGATCGCGAATAAGAGCCAGTTGGACGTCATTTACACAGATTGTGAGAAGGCTTTTGACAGGGTGGACCATGAGTTGCTGCTTTGCAAGCTTGCTGAGTTTGGGGTGTCAGAGGATGCTTACCATCTTGTGAGGTCATACCTAATAGGCAGGGTCCAGACAGTGAGGGTCGGCGCTTGCAACTCTGAGGCGTTTGTTGCAACCTCAGGTGTCCCGCAGGGTAGTAAACTGGGCCCTCTTTTCTTTTTGTGTTTCATCAATTCATTGCCTGACTGCCTGAGGGACTCTATGGGACTTCTCTTTGCTGATGACTTCAAGCTCTGTAGGATTGTTGAGCGGCAGGAGGACTGCAGAAGGCTTCAGGGTGACATGGATAGGGTGATGGACTGGTTCAACAACAACAGAATGTCCCTAAATGTTAATAAGTGTTCTGTTGTCAGCTTTACGAGACGAACAAACCCAATAGAAGAAACATACAAGATTGGTGATACTGAGCTTGATCGTCAAACAGAGGTGAAGGATTTGGGTGTCTTTTTCCAGGCCAACATGAAGTTCAATAAGCATTTTCATCATGCTGTCAATAAAGCAGTAAAAGCACTTGGCTTTGTAATCAGGAATAGTAAGAACTTTAAAATAAGTACAATTATTAACTTGTATAATGCTCTGGTGAGACCACACCTTGAATATGCATCACACATTTGGATGCCATTGGAAGCCACGCATATTAATGAAATTGAAAAAGTGCAGAAGAGATTTTTGCGGTATCTCTATGTGGTTAAAAATAATATTTACCCATATATGGTTCCTTACAGGGATATGCTTGTTAGTTTTGAGATAAAGTCATTAGTGGAAAGAAGGAATAATCAGGCTGTGATATTTTTGTTTTATATTTTAAACAACCTAAAGTATAAGGATTGTAATTTAATTAACTATGTCTCCTTAATTGTACCAAAGATTAACTTAAGAATTATGAAAAACAAGAAATACTTTGGTACTGATCCTAGTAATAATATGTCACCATTTAATCGCATGATGACAGTTGCGAACCAAGCACTTAATGAGGTCCAGGTAGATCTTTTTAATGTAACTTTCAATCAATTGAAGGCCCTTTTAAATTAGTCATATATGTTTATATTGTGTACTCTATCTTTATTTCTGTGTTTTACACTTCGCTGTTTTAACTTTACATGTAATTACTATTTTTGGTGTTTGTAAAGTAATGAAATAAATTTATTTTATTTTATTTTATTTTATTTTATTTTATTTTATTTTATTTTATTTTATTTTATTTTATTTTATTTTATTTTATTTTATTTTATTTTATTTTATTTTATTTTATTTTATCTTATTTTGTTTATAGTTGTATTTTTGTGTATTTATATTTAATTTTTAATTTTACATACCTTATGAATCACATATTTAGTGTAAATTAGTAATACTTTACTTTTAATTTTATTTTATTTGATTATGTAGATATAAGACTGCTTTGTCAATAAGATTTCTATCTTTGATAATAAAGCTTTTTCTGATTCTGATTCTGTATGAAAAGCATGATTATCACCCATCGCAGATTTGGAATGCAGATGAAACAGCATTGACAACTACTGTTTGAGACACAAACAAAGTCTTCACAGAAGGGACAAAAACAAATGAGCCAAGTCACCTCAAGTGAAATAGGAACTGATTTATTTTGGTTAAAGATATATTTACTGTATGAAAAATTATTAAACGCGTTTAAATTGCTTCAGATAAAAAAGTAGTACGCGTTTCTTTGAAAAGGTGGCCACTGACCACTGTTGGCGGCTCTCCCCTAAACAAAAAACTGAAAAAAGGGCTGAAAAATTCAGATGGACAGTTTTGAAATCACCATGTGAGGTAGTACCAACAGGTACCTAGTTGTTTTTACTGCCAGCTCTCAAACTATTACATTGAAACTACTAATTAGATATTTATAAAAGATTTAATTGGCCTCATTTTCAGCCTACTTGGAGATCAGATTAAAATTATGAACATTGTTGAAATTTCCAAAAAAATACATCGAGAAACATTTTATTTGTTTGTGAAGATGTTTATGGAATTAAATTTAAATTATTTCGAAGCTTAGTAGCTGTGAAACTATTAAAGTTGCATTGAGACCATCTAGTTAGTAGGGTTTTTAGGGGATTTATTTAGAGACTTGAGCCTAATTAATTAAGATAGTGAGAGAAATCAAATTTCTAAAAACTCACATTGAGGGATGTTTTATCTTTTTGTGAGGAAAGGGTTTGATTGAATGTTTGTAATGGATGGAAAAAAAACTGAAATTTAGGAAAAAAATAAATTACCATATCGTCTGGTCCCTCACACGAGTGCCGATAAGGCAATCCCTCAGGAACAATTTTGTTTAGCATCATTTCCATGTCGTCCCTAACGTCCGGGTCCCAACTTTCATTTAGAGCTAAACTAGCACTAGTATGAAGAACTGAAAAAAAAAGATTTAAAATAATTATTTCTTTTTATAATAATTCAAGACTTCTTTTTAGACTAAGTACACTACAACTACAACTTAACTTTTACAATGCAAGTATTTACAAAATTTGATACTTGAATACTCACAAATATTGAGTAGGTACAATATTTTCCAAATGTACAAGTATAGTTACTTAAATATTCTCTGGAGTATTTTACTTAAAATTAAAGAAAGAAAACAGTATAAGAAACAGTATGTTTCATATGTTTTACCTAAGTACTTAAAAATACTTACTTCAAGTACTTAGAGTACCTATTTATATGTACTTACTTAAGTACTCCTGAACTTTACTTTGTCACTATTTCTGACAGTAATGTGATACATAATTGCATACAAAATTACATGGTAAAGTGCAATTTACCCTGCAAGTTCTTTTAGACTTGTTCCCTTATATGAGCATTATTTCCCAGACAGTACTCAAACTAGATATAGTACTTGGAGTACATATTTTGAGTAAAATATAAAATAATGAATGAATAACTGCTTGAAATAGTTTGAATATATACTTTCGAAAACTACATTTCAGTACATTTTCAAGTATTAGTAGTAGGTACTTAGAATAAATTGCCAAATTTAGGTACCAGTACAAGTACTTTTTCAGAATTGTATTGATTATTTTTTTGTAGGTAACTACTCGTATTGAAAGTACTTAAGGAAAATACTTGAAGTATCAAATGTACTTAATATTTTCTTTAAGTATATTTTTTACTCAGTACCTCAGCTCTAGAGTATATGGGGAAAAATAAAAATACCAAAAAAGTTTTTGTTTTTTTTTTTTTGACAAGTTGTACTGACTTTGGACGTGACAGAGCCCCATGGCAAACTGCGACAGCTCCGGGATCTGCCTCAGAATCTCCTCGGTGACCAGATGGACGCCTCGGTGCTGAGGCCTCAGATTGATCTTCTTCTGAAACCACGCTGAATTCGTTTGGATGATCCGGGCCGACGTAGAGGCCATGTTGGACTTGCCGCTGCCGCTGTCGGTCGCCAGTTTGAACCGGTTTCGTAGTTCTTTGATTTTCACTTTTACCGCACGCACGCCGCGAAGATCACGAATAATCGACACCAGCAGGCACCAAGTTCATTATTATCATGACCGATTCATCGGGCGATTAATTATTTTTATAGTTATTTGCTAAATGGGGGAAAATAAAAAAAGGTTTGCTCCTGTGGTGCGGCTCGGGATCGGTTCTTTTGACACTTCGGGCAAGTCCGGACCGGACAGTTTTGCGCATGCTGAGAGTTTTTCTCTACGAAGAGAAACTACGCTCTATTTACTCTACTCTATTTACTCCACTGCAAACGGAGTCACGCTAATTGAAACAATACACGGAGTCACTCGAAGTTAAGCAAAAAAAAAACTGTTGTGTGCTCGTATTTTGAGAGCACAAATAGAATAAAATGTGTTCTGGGTCGATTTAGTTAGGTCACGAACCACCAGATAGAGATGCTGACTCAGAAAAATTCTCTTCGAAAGGGAACGTTTAGAGTATGCTTCATCTACTCCACTCTGTTTACTCCACCGCAAACGGAGTCACACTAATTGAAACAATACTCGGAATCACTCGGAGTTAAATAAAGCATAAAGCCTTGTACTCATAACTGCGAAATTCGCACTTTTTTGACATTGCTTCGACAATTTGACGCTTGATACACGCATAAAACGTCAAATTGTCGACGCAGTGTCAAAAAAGTGCGAATTTCGCAGTTATGAGTACTAGGCCTAAAACTGTTGCGCGTGTTTGAGAGCACAGTACAATAAATTGTGTTCTGGGTCGATTCAGGTCATCAAAGACCGGACAGTTTTATGCATGCTGACCATTGAGATGCTGACTCAGAAAAAAACTCTTCGGAAGGGAACTTTTCGAGTACGCTCCATTTACTTCACTCTGTTTACTCCACCGCAAACAGAGTCACATTAGAAAGTTCTCGTGTATCAGACGCTACGCTAATACGGTACCGCTAACAATACGGTATTACACATGGTATTTTATAGTTCTCGGACACGAAGACACATAAATCCTCTAATCCGTTATTTTGTTTACATTTTGACAGCTGAGTTGAGTGATCTATCCAACTTTTTTTGCTTGTTTTGAAATTTTATTTATTCTGAAGATTCCTGAGCTTGATTAATTTTCCCTTGGTGTTTTTTATGGAGGAATTATTAGAAGTTGCTGTTTTTGACAGACATAAATGAAGCGTGAACTTGTTTTGACATAGCATAGCGTAACGGTAAAGCATCCGGTAAGTTCCGTTAGATAGCGAGCTGTTATGTGTTCACAAATTGAGAGCACAGTACAATAGACTGTGTTCTGGGTCGATTCAGATTCAAGTCATGAACGACCAAAGAGTTGTGCGCATGCTGACCATTGGCATTCTAACTCAGAAAAACTCTCTCCGGAAGGGAATTTTTGGAGTACGCTAAATTTACTTAACTCTGTTTACTCCACCGCAAACGGAGTCACACTAATTAGAACGATACCCGGAATCACTCGCAGTTAGGGCAAACAAGAACTGTTGTGTGCTCGTATTTCGAGTGCACAGTACAACAAATTGTGTTCTAGGTCGATTCAGGTCATGAACGACTGGACAATTTTGCGCATGCTGACCATTGAGATGCTGACTCAGAAAAATTCTCTTCGAAAGGGAATTGAAACAATACCAAGAAATCCCTTGGAATTAGAGCAAACAACAAATATTATGTGCTTGTATTTTGAAAACACTGTACAATAAAATGTGTTCTGGGTCGATTCAGGCCATGAACGACCAAATAGTTTTGCGCATGCTAACGACTGAGAGAATCAACTTCTCTATATTTGGAATCGACGGAACAATTAACTCATTAGCACAACATAAATCGCGAGCATTTCTTCGAGGTCTACGGGTGACGTCATCACCATAAGCCGATACAACAGCTCTAGGGCATTATGCGCTTATTCCTTTCGAAAAGTTTTTGTTGCACCCGAGTGCTCAAGCCCGACTCGAACCATTCAAATGCAAGAAAGTTAGCGCATCTGTTCCTTTCAAATCGGGGCGAATAACACCGGAGCGAGTAGCTCTACTGTCTTAAACTCTTGAAAGGAATACAACTATTGACACATCACATAACCCAGCATAATCAGAATATGCTTGATTATCCTCGCGAAAAATTACCATGACTCAAAAAAACTCTCTTCGGAAGGAAACTTTTAGAGTACGCTCCGCCGCTAACGGAGTCACACTAATTAAAACAATACCCGGAATCACTCGAAGTTCGAGTAAACAAAAACTGTTGTGTGCTCGTATTTTGAGAGCCCAATAAGATAGATTGTGTTTTGTGTCGATTCAAGTCATGAACGGCCGGACCGTGTTGCGCATGCTGACTGAACATTGAGATGAGTCAGAAAAACTTTTTTCAGAAGGAAACTTTTAGAGTACGCTCCATTTACTTTACTCTATTTACTCCACCGCAAACGGAGTTACACTAATTAAAACAACACCTAGAATCACTCGGAGTTAGAGCAAACAAAAACTGTTGTGTGCTCGTATTTCAAGTGCACAGCACCATAAGTTGTGTTCTGGATCGATTCAGATCAAGAGCGACCGGACAGTTTGGCGCATGTTGACCATTGAGATGCTGACACAGAAAAACTATCTTCAGAAGGGAAGTTTTAAAGTACGCTCTAATTACTCCACTCTGTTTACTCCACCGCGAATAGAGTCCCACTAATTAAAATAATACTCAGAGTCACTCCGAGTAAAAGCAAGCAAAAACTGTTGTGTGCTCGTATTTCAATTAAGAGCACAGCACAGTATAATAAACTGTGCTCTGGGTCGATTTAGGTCATGAACGACCGGACAAATTTGCGCATCCTGACCATTGAGATGGTCATTCAGAGAAATTCTCTTTGAAAGAAAACTTTTAAAGTACTTTACTCTATTTAGTCCACTGCAAGCAGAGTCACACTATTAAAGCAATACCCGGAATCACTCCGAGTTAGAGCAAACAAAATAGTTGTGTGCTCGTATTTTAAAAGGACAGAGGACAGTACAATAAATTGTGTTCTGGGTCGATTCAGGTCATGAACGACTGAACAGTTTTGCGCATGCTGACTATTGAGATGCTGACTCAGAAAAACTCTCTTCGGAAGGGAACTTCTAGACTACGCTCCATTTATTTTACTCTGCTCACTCCACCGCAAACAAAGTCACACTATTTAAAACAATACCCGGAAACACTTAGAGTTAGAATCAACAAAAACTGTTGTGTGTTCGTATTTGAGAACACAGTACATTAAATTGTGTTTTGGGTCGATTCAGATCCTGAACGACCGGATAGTTTGGCGCATCTGATCATCAAATGAGATGTTGACTCAGAAAAACTTTTCTCGAAAAGAATCTTTTAGAGTACGCTCCATTTACTTTACTCTGTTTACTCCACTGCAAACAGAGTCACACTCATTTAAAACAATAATGTTTGTTTTTTATTTAAAGATAATTAGGCAATTCAAACCACGTGACTTTCAAGATGGCGTGGCGGCCACACATGGGTCAAAAAACATAAAAAAATATCTAGATTTTGCCCGATTTATTAGTTTAGGTTCCTAGTCAACAAATATTTTATTAAATAATCCAAATCAAAGTTGCAAGCAAAACTCTAAGCAAAATAATTTGAAATACGCATAAAAACACATTCAAAACAAACTTGCTTGGCCACCACGCCATATTGAATTTTCCTATCTGACAGATGGATTGAATTGCCTAATTCCCCAAGTCAAAAATTTAGTAACTATGTTGGCAACACAAGCCTTTTCTACATAAAAAATTTGAAAGCATTGACAATTTTACATTGTATTGCCAACATAATGTCATTTTGACTTTTATCTTTAAAAAAAAACAGACTTTACCTACTTTACTAGGAATTACTTGGAGTTGTTAGAGCAAACAAAAATTGTTGTGTGCTCGTATTTTGAGAGCACAGTACAATAAATTGTGTTCTGGGTCGATTCAAGTCATGAACGACCGGAAAGTTTTGCGCATGCTGGCCATTATTGAGATGGTGACTGAGAAAAACTCTCTTCGGAAAAGAAATTTTAGAGTACGCTGCATTCACTTTACTGTGTTTACTCCACCGCAAACAAAGTCACATTAAATAAAACAATCCTCGGAATTAGAGCAAACAGAAACTGTCGTGTTCTCGTATTTTGAGAGCACAGTACAATAAATTGTGTTCTGGGTCGATTCAGGCAAAGTTTAACTCTTGGTTCTTGGTTCTGCTCCTCAATGGTTCTGCTGGACGATTCAACATTTCAAAATTATAGAACGTCACCCTTTACTCTCTTCGGAAGCAAGGTTCCTAAAGTTCATAGGTTGTCTGGTAATGGATAACTTGATGACGCATTTGGAATGTCTTATGGAGATTTGCATTAGGTGAGGCATACAGATGACGTCATAAAAGTTATCAGGCAAGCAACCTCGTTTTAAACGACCTCAGCTGCTTTCGGGTGCCACCCTTTTAGAGCTTCCGAGTTACTCCGAAGTACTCCGGTTACAGTTTGACTCGTTCGATTTCAAGCGTTCCAGTGCAAAACGCATGGAGTACGACAGGTCACTGACAGGTGTGAAGTGTCCTAGGAACACCCGAAAGCAGCTCTTGCTTCGGAAATTAAATTTTAGAGTACGCCCCATTTACTATACTTTAATCCAACGGATAGTCACACTAATTAAAATAATACTCAGAATCACTCGGAATAAGAATAAACCAAAACTGTTGTGTGATCGTATTTTGAGAGCACATTACAATAAAAAAAAAATTGGGTCGATTAAAGTCATGAACGACCAGACAGTTTTGCGCATGCTGACCGTTGAAATGCTGCCTCAGAAAAACTCTCTTCAAAAGGGAACTTTTAGAGTACGCTCTATTCACTTTACTCTATTTACTAAACCGCAAACGGAGTCACACTAATTAAAACAATCCCCGAATCACTCAGAGCTAAAGTGAACAAACACTGTTGTGTCCTCGTATTTTGAGAGCACACTACAATAAATTGTGTTCTGGGTCATGAACGACGTGTCAATTACCACAGCAAAATTTTTGCACGACAATGTCAAAATCGACTCTGGAGTCAGTGGAACTATTTCTATGCCTGCGTAGTTGAAATTATCTAAAAAAGAGTAACCAACTCCGGTCTTATTGGTTTAAAGTCATTCGGAGTAAATAGAACGCTAGCAAATCTCGCACGGAGCGCTCTTTCTTGCTCTGTCAAATTCAATGGATCAAAGAGTTCGATCAAAACAATAAAGTACGTTCGGCTATTGATTGCAACTGGTGTGCCCTGTGCCCTTATTCAGATTATAATCGCTCTCGGAGCATTCCGGCAGAATCTGTGACGTCACCGCCAAGACGGGGAGCGGTAAAGCTGATAAAAACACGCACTGGTCTGATTTTATTCAATTTGGTTTTGCATCGATTTTTTTATTTATAGGATCGCTAATCACAAATCTGAAAATCGTTTTTGTCGCTCGCGTTTCTCTTCCGAAATATCCATCAGATCTATATTCTATTTTCCCTGAGCTGCATTGGATTGATTAGCTCAATCTGGTTCAATTTAAGTGAACCACACCGTGTTCGAATGTAGTTGGATCAGTTTACCCCCACCGACAAAAAATTATATGGATCTACTCTAGAGCTGTATTCGATTGACGGATTGACCAGATAAGATCGATCTGTGGGGGCGGATTACGAACTCTCGATTCGAACCGAAATCGCCATGAATTTCGAATGCATTCTGATGCATTCGCATGGAGTGCGTTCGAAATCCATGGCGGTTTCGGTTCGAATCGAGAGTTCGTAATCCGCCCCCTGGTTCAATTTAAGTGAACCGGACCGTCTTCGATTGTAGTTGGATCAGTTTACCCTCACCAACAAAAAAATGATCGGACCTGTATTCGATTGACCAGATAAGATCGATCTGGTTTGGTTCAAGTGAACCAGATCGTGTTCGATTGTAGTTGGATCAGTTCACCCCCACCAATAGAAAAATGATCTAAATCTATTCTGGATCACAAGAAGTGAACTGAAAATATTGCCGGTTGAGTTAGAAAAAATTAAAAAAAAAAAACGAGAGAGCTTTCTAACGAACAAGTGACAGTTGACAGTTATCGAATTGAACCAACTTTTTCCGTTCAGATTGATTAGAACTGAACTGCCGTACGAATCGAATTAAACTCTTTAAATCCACTCTAGGTCACAAGAAATGAACTAAAAATATTGCCGGTTCAGAGATCCGCTTCCACACTCAGGACTTTGAGGAAAATACTGAACGCAAGGAAAGGTATATTTTTGGATTTTGGTCGTTGACCAAAGTTCCTGAAGTTAATACGTTGTCTGGTAATGGGTAACTTGATGCACCAATCAAAAACGCTCCGACTGGTTTGTGATTTCTGTGAGAACAGACTTTCCGTAGTTACCATGTTATTAACAAAAACCAAGTTAATTTATAGTGCTCGGAATTGACAGTATACTTGAAAGCACTCGAAACAGTTGAAGTACTCTAGAGTGATCGGAACAAATGGAGTACTCGGAACAGATTGAGTCGGCGACTAAAATCCAATAATATACTTTTGTGTGAAAAATTAGCGAAATCAGAGAAGAAAGAACATAATAAATTTGATAATGGATATTTCGGAAACGAAACGCGAGCGACAAAAACTGATTTCAGATTTGTGATTGCTAAACCAAAATGCTAAAAACGAATATTCGGGGCAAAGAGTGTGGATCTAGCAGGTTCAAATAAAAACATTATTTTACTCCACAAGTTCAAGTTCGGATGCGGCTATTCACTACAGAATCAGAGTCGGAGCAACAATCTGACACGTGTTCTTAGAGTAAGAAGAGTACCCAGTAAATCCGGAACTTTTGGAGCAAAAAAATATTAAAACTATGGCAACTTCTTTCCCGAAATGGAAAGATTATAAAGGTGTTCTCTCGCGGGGCGAATGGTTCGAACTACGGTTTAAACCAATTTGTAGATGACGTCATCACTTGTGAACGCGAGAAAATGGAAAGTTTGAACTACCAGTCTTATGCTTATGTCGACGAAGAACAAGCCATGAGTCCGGTTCGAACTTTTTCAAACCAGGTTCAATGTGACGTCACTGGTTCAACACAAGAATGTACAGGTTCGGACCTAATTGAACCGGATCGAACCAAAGAATCAAAAAGGGGGGTTCATTTGTACTCACTCTAACAGCTCGAAAAATCAGAAAGATCTACTAGGAGCCGCTTTTTAAGAGCTTTTATAGGGACAAGTGAACCCGATTTACTCTCGAGATCTGACTAGAAGCAAGAAAAGCAGTACAAATAATCACCCTAAATGTATTTATCAATTTTGATAGTTGAGTTTAAATAAAAACATTCAAAGAAAAAAAATCCAGTGTATTCCAAACAAGATTTTTGTCCAATCAAAAACTTTCAGTGCTACACTCGGGTAGCAAAAATTTTTCTTTAATTTAACGTGTTTGCTACCTCTATCAGATTGAGAATTCTTCGAACTTCGAGCAGATCTAGAAAATACAAATGAAAACCCCTTGTTTGTGTCACACTGACGTCAAAAGAGTTTATTGTTTATTTATTTAAATATAATTTTGTGATGGTTTCTGTTGTTTTTTAAATTAAATTTAATTTAAAATGAGCGATAATATACAATGGATAACGTTGAATAACAGGTAATCATTCATTAAATACAAATAACTACAATAAAAAACCTTGGTTCCCAGATTACAACAAGGCATAAAATTCATAAACGACCTAAACAACAAAAAATACCAACTCCTTCTAACTCACATAATAACTTCCGAAACCAACGAGTACTTTACCGATATCGAACTCAGAAAACTCGAAGAAACTTTAAAATTAACCCCGAACGACTTGCAACTTCTTTTACAAAGCCTCGGCTACATTTACAAGCAGAGCAGTAAAGTGATATTGAAACCCACCGAGTTGCAAAAGCAACTGGAAACTCATTTGGGTTTAGAACAAGAAAAAGCAGAAATATTTGTAAAAGAATGGACTCTGGAGGCTAAAAAGGATTTGGGAAACTTTGAGGATAGAACTAGGTTGGACAAAGTATCTTGGGAGTTGGACTTGCAAGTTGGATCGGATATTGGTTGTCAGTTGGTGATTCCTAGTGCAAAAATACAATTGGATTTAGCTAAAGTAAAAAAAATTGATGATTATTATTATTGTTATTCATACTTAATTGTTTTATAGGTAAATGGGACAAATTTAAAGGAAAATGCTATTTTGGAAATGGGCGAGGATGAATTGCAACAGCTCTATAACACTTTGGAAGTAATTCAGCTTCGTTTGGATAATATAAGCAAAAATTAGTTTAAATTGATTTTTATTTAGCTGCAATAGCCTTATTGGTTGGCCTATCAATAAGTTTTAAAGGAGTAATATTGTCAGTTTCTGCCGTTATTTGAGCTGCCAATAAGGTTTGCATCATTCCTTGAACCATCGTCAGCTCATTGGCTAGTTGTTCCTCTCTTTTCAGAACTTCATGGAGTTGGACCAATAGTAATCCTTAATTGGTCAGATGAAAAATTTTTAAAAAATTGTTTTTATTTGAGGGGTTGAACTTACCAATATCACCTGGCAATCCATCCAAACTGTCTGATATAATATCCAAAAATTCATCAGTGATTTCTATTAGGAACCTTGTAAATCTCAAGTCAGTTATATACCTGAAAGTTTTTTATAGAATAAATAATAGTGGAGCCACTTTACAAGCGGGCTAAATGTTGTCAAAATATACACAGAACAACCCTGTACATCATTAAATTTCAATAAAAATGAGTTGATTACCTGATAAAAAATCTAGTCAATTGTCTAATCATTTTAGGATCTTTTTCCTTTAAAGCCTTGGCCAAAGCTTTCCTCTTTTGCAACTCCCTCAAAACCGCCACTGTCCTTTCTGGATGTTTATTGACTATGTAAGCCATCAAAGCAGCACTCAGCGCCTTGGAATACTCAAATTTCCTCAAAAAATGATCAAATTTTGCTTCTTTTTCATACCTGAAACATACTTTAAGCCCATTGCAGCTAAAAAAAGATTAAATTTACGTTAATTGTGGAATTATTTCATCAACTCCTGTTGGAATTTCTTGGCGGGCTTGTTTTTTGGGGGCACTTTTATTTTGAAGCTCTTCGGTGCGTCTTTGTACTGCTATTACTCCATCTACTAGTCCAGCAGCTACTGTTGAATCGTCTGGGGCGACACCTTTAAAAACAATCCATCATTAGTAGAATAAAAATATAATAATCAATTTGTATATCCGAAGTTTTTCATCTCAAAAACTATTATAAAGAAAATATAGTTAAAACTGGTAATTAATAACTCTTTTCAGTTGTATAACAATTATTCTTTTGTGAGATTTTATACACAGTTCTTACCCAAACTCAAAATTGCATTTGGAAAATCCAATGTATGAACAACCTGTAAAAAAAACAATTAACAACTATTCAAACCCTAATAAATTGTCCATACCTTGAAAGTACCAACATCAAATATCTTAACGTGCCTGTCCAAGCTGCTGGAAAGCAACCGTTTACCTCCAGAAGCGAGTTTAAGACAAGTGACCGTTTTGTGGTGCTGCGCCAGGGCCCCCCTCAATTTACCGCCGGCCAGAGCATCCCAAATCTACAAATAAATTGTTTAAACTTTTGAATTGTTTGAAACATTTTTTTTTACTTTGATATCGGTGCCTCCGGCACTCAAAAACATTCCTCCGCCAGGCATAAACAGCAACGACTCTACAGGGCTTTTGTGGTCCATCGTCATCACCTCTTTATCGGTTCTGGTGTCCCACATTTTTACTATACTGTCGTAGCCTCCAGATAAAATTATATTTGGCATATCTGGACTTACTATACCGGCTCTGGAAATTTAAAGCAACACAAATCTCAGTAAAATTAGCCAGTTTAGTAATAATTAAATAGTCTGACAAAGAAATTATGTAGTTGTATATTTCATGTAATGTCTTAACTTTGGATCACTCAAAACTCACCTTATATAATCACTATGTCCCTCGAAAGTGTGCAAAGTATTTTCAGTGGCAATGTCCCAAACTCGTACACTTTTATCATCGGAAAAAGACACTATTTGTGGTTCTTTGTGTACAAAAGCCACTCGGTGTACTGGAGCTGAATGTCCTTTGAATAACCTGGAATAATTTTTCATAGTAAAATATAATGTGGAAAAAACTAGTTCAGTCTAAGTGGGCTCAGTGAATCAATTTATTTTGCCAACCGCCAGTTCTCAGAATTTAAGATTTCTCTACGCTTTAGATAGGACTAAGATTTCTTTTGGTTCATCTCAGTCAATTAGTTTATTTAAACCAAATACTAGCTGTAACAGAAACAATATGAACCTAAATTGTTCTTTTTCAGGATGAAAGATGACATAAATGAAGGGTCCTTCCTCCTTAAACAGCTTAAACAATGTTTAACTAATGCTCTAAAACTGAAGGACCTTTTTTTATCCCTTATTATTAATAATAATAGTAATAATGTCTGGCCGGTAAAACATTGTTGCCAGCAATGTGGCTGCCGCTACCGGATGCAGACGGTACTGCCAGCGTGCCAGCTGCCCGCTGACCCTACCCATCTTCCTTGCATCTCATTTTCTAGAAACTTCAGCCAAATTTATTTCCGAAACCAAGACCTTCGTGAGATCTGATGTAATTGGAGACAGGATGTCTGTTTATGGCACTACTTGTATAGCCAACAAAAACATCATAAACAGCTAAAGAGCGATATCACTGGGGTATATTCGAAAAAACTGGTCTGAACTTCTGAACCATACCTTGCTTGAAAATGAGAGCCTGAGAGATATTATAGAGAATTACTATGCCCTTAGACTATGCCCATATGAAGAAAACCAGCACATACGAAACAAGTCTTGAAATGTTAGCTCTCTCTGAAACACAGGAGTTCAGATACTTAATAAATGTTTATAATTATAGTTTTAAAATGATAAATTTGTTTTATTTACAAAATCATATTTTCCTTGTATATCCTGTCTAATTGATGACTTCTTACTTGGAATATTAGTTTCATTACTCTATTTTGAATATTTTGTACAAACTTGATTGCATTATTATATGCACTACCTCACAAAACAACACCATACGTAGCCACAGATTCAAATAATGCATAATACAAAATCAAGAGTCTTTGTGTTCAAAATGGACTTAAATTTTGCAAATACAAAAAGTAGGTATCACTAATTTTGAAATATTTCTAAAGCCCACATTACATCTGTGTATTTTTTGTGTATTTCTACATGTATTTATGGATGTATTGTATAAATTCATGAATTTATTCACCTGATAAGCTGTAAATTCAAGAAGCTGAAATTAAATTACATTTGACAAAACTTTACAAATGGCATTAGCAATAAAAGGTTCAAAGATACAAAATAAATAAGTGCATAAAAGTTTCTATACAAACTTAGTTAATAAAGTTTCAAATTAAATAAATCGAATAAATAGAAGTTTGTCCAGCACGATTTCAATGCGATCGTCAAAACATCACACAAATTTCTAGCGGTCAACTACAAAGCGATATCAATTTACGAAATTTGGGTTTAACAGGGCTTTTTTTACATTGCGGAACAAATAATAAATCAAACCAGCGGCGGATTTAGGATTCCTTCTAGGGGGGGGCGATCCATCAGGGCCTCAGGCTCAGATAAGAAATAATAAAAAAACGACTTAAATATACAGAGTGGCAAAAAAGTCGCGTATAATACCTGTAACTTTCTAATTACCTCGTATACGAAAAAGTGACCTTAATGAAAGTTGCTCAGTAGACAGTAAATTAGGGACATAAAGCTTCCGTATTTTTTGCTCGGTATCCGTATCGGTATCGTACTGCGCATGTGCAGAAGCGATACGGAGGCCGAGATACCGTACGTACAACGTAACGTTACGGCCCTCACGCGGTATCCGTATCGGTAACGTATCTTGACATTTCTGACGCATGTGTCAAATTTCAAATGAATATAACCTCCCTTTTCTTCCGGGTTGATTTAATTTGTTTAGTTTATACTTTCTTGAGTTTCTTGTGTGTTTAGTGCTTCTCTATCGCAAAAAAAATAACAATTTTAAGGTTAGATATAAAAACGCCGAAGTTTTGAGACAAAAATGTCTAGGTTATGAAATGCGTTTACGTTTACCGGAACAGGGAGCGCTTTAACAGCCTTTTCGCTTGTCAACGTATCTAGTTGCGTTACGGATACCGATACCGATGAATTATTTCAAGTAGCTTTATGTCCCTAATATTTCCCACAATTCTACTTAAACGTATTGCCTGTGTCACTTCTGGTTTGTTGCTATCTAGACCAACTTTCTTTTTTTCAAATAAAACACCCTGTATGTGATTGCATATTTGGATTCTACGTAAAATTCTGAGCAGATTTCATGTGATATACCCTATACCTAAGTTCAACTGTTTTGGAAATATTGACAGTTGAACATTGACTTTTTGCAACTTTGACAGGCTGTAAAACCTGAACGGTTAATTTCAGAGGAAAACCGATTTCACATTCCTGTCTTAGATTTTCATAAACTATCATTTGACATCAACATTTAATTTAATCGGAGATTAAATTTAATTGGAATTTTCAATTATAGATTAAATTCAAAGTTGGTGCGGATTTACGTCATCCGCAGTCGATTCGCTCCCAGCTCGTTGCTGCCAAACGTATTTAAAAGTATTAAAAATTTGGAAAAATAGCAAAAACCATATGGAATTTCATGTTGGATAATGCTTGATGAATATGTTTGTGTTTTCATTAAAAATTTCGTTGTTGCGTCGCTCAATAGGGGGGGGCGCGCGCCCCCCGCGCCCCCCTTCTAAATCCGCCACTGAATCAAACAAAAGAGTGTCGCATCATTAGTAAACTAAAATGTAACAAACCAGGCCACACAAGTAAAGTTTGCATTACAACGTTGAAAAGAACTTCGTATATTCAAGATGATGAAGTCATTTTTGAAGAATCAGAAAACTACTCAATTAACCAAGTAATCGACATGTTTAATCAATCTTCTTTGCCGGTACACAAACCAAAAATGATAATTGAGTTGCTTATCAAAGATAAAGCATTCAAATTTGAATTTGATACTGGAAGTCCCATCTCTATCATATTATCTGAAATGGATTTTAAAAAATTACAACTTAATTTACCTCTACAAGATACTAATGTGAGATTTAGATCATATACTAAACATCTTCTCCAACCATTAGGATATGTTCAAGTTCCTTTCACATTTAAAAAACAAAAAATCATATGGAAGATTTATATAACTATTGAACCGAATTATAGTAGCGCAATTTTAATTTTAGGAAGAAGATGATTGAGAAAATTAAATGCTGTCGGACTTGGGGGTTGTGAAGGGGTGAGAATCAAAACTAGAGCCAAGGACAAAAATAGGAAAGTGTATTTAAAATAAAGCCTATCACAAATTCATTTCAGATATAGGCATAAGGGAAACCGGACGGAACAGAACATGAAATAACAGAACATGAATGAACAGAACGTGAAAAAGCAGAACATGAAAAAACAGAACAGTGAAAAAACAGAACAGTGATAAAACAGAACAAGGAAAAAAGAGAACTATGACATAACAGAACCGAGAAAATAGAGAACACTGAAATAAGAGAACCTTGACAAAACAGAACTCTGAAAAATAAGAACAACTGGAAATAATAAAGGATGAAAAACAAAAAATAGGTATCTAGTTATTGAACTTTAATGAATATTTTTTTACTCATGTAGGGCGTCATTGAAATGGTGTAAAGAAATTTGGGGGGTGATAGTACTCATAAAACTGGTTTAAAAAATTCCTATAAACATGGGTCGTAAAATGCATATTAAGGGAGTTAGGGGTGTTAAGGGGAAAAATTGAAAATCGTCTTTTTCTTTAATTGTAGGTTTGAACGAGATGAATTTTAGAAAAAAACCCTGTCTGGCATAGATTTTTTTTCTAAATCCTATATTTTCCCTTAAGAGAAGTGAAATTATAATAGCTAAATAACTCAAACAGGACTTATTTATACTTAATTTCCGAGAATATCAATGTTTTAGTTATGTTATATGGGTCTTTGTTGAAAGGGGCCTGAATAACTTAGGTCTTATTGCTTGATGTTAAAAGTAGGTAATTAGTTTCTGAGAATATTAATGTTAGGAAAATATAACTTTGTTGAGAGGGATTGTATGTTAATGAGATCGGTGGGTTTTGGTTAAAGTTTAAAAATGTAACAAAGAAAATACAATTACTCCCATATTATTCAATTGTTCAGGTTAGTTCAGTTTGAATATAAATTTGAGTAGTCAACTTTTATTCTTCAGTCGACTTTTCGAATTTCATTTGAACTGTTGTGTATCTAATTGTAAAATTGCTTTTTTCTGTGTATTTTGTGTTTAATCTTTATTTCACCTATCATTGCAATGGAATATTCTGTCATGCAGAAGGGAAATAGGGTTCTTGTGTACCAAGGGTATGAATATACGAAGTACAGAGAAAACAAAAGTGGAGTCATCATGTGGAGGTGCAGAATCTACTATTCTACCAAGTGTAAGGCCTTCTTGAGATCCCAAGAAGACAACATAATTGGTGAGGTTCCACAACATTGTCATGATTCCAAACCGCAAGTAGCTCAGGCTAATATTATTAAGGCCATATTGAAGCGTGACATGAAGGCAGTTGGTGCAACTCCAAGAAATGTATTGGGACATGTATTAACCAACCTAAGTTGCGATGTATTGGAACATTTGCCAAAGCAATCTTCCTTGACCAGAAATCTTTTCAACCACAAGAAAACGGCTCATATTCCGAATCCGACCACAACAAATTTTCGGATCCATGAAAATTATGCGGACTTGATTCTGCACGACACAGGAGCGGACGATCAAGAAAGGATTTTGGTAATTGGGAATGGAGAATTGCTGCGACAATTGGATAAGGCTATAATCTATGGAGACGGAACATTCGACAAAGCCCCCAACATGTTTTACCAACTATATACGTGGCATGCTAAAGTTGGCAACAGCTATCCACCTTGCATTTACTTTTTGCTGCAAAAAAAGAACTGCGATACATACCGTCGAATGTTCACAATATTAAAGGATTTAGTGCCCAGCATCGCACCTCAGAAGATTCTGGTTGATTTTGAGAAAGCATGCATTTCTGCTGCTCGAACCGCCTTCCCAGAAGCAGAAATTAAGGGATGCTACTTCCATCTATCCCCAGAGTTTGTTACGGAAAATTAATAGTGCTGGCTTGAAAACGGATTATGAGTCTGATATTGACGTGAAATTGAAACTGAAGTCTCTGGCTGCACTGTCGTTTGTACCAGAACACGACGTGCGATCTGTATTTGATGACCTAGCAGCAACTTTTCCCGATGATGATGGCCACAACGCCGTGTTGACGTATTTCTTCTCAACATACATAGAGGGCGCTGCTGGAAGATCACCGCAATTTCCAATCGGGTTGTGGAACCATTTCGGAGCCGCTGCCGAAAGAAGCCCAAAAACAACAAATTGTTGTGAGGCATAAGCACTAAAAATTATCACCGGACTAAAAGGCACTATTATTACTGACTAACTAACGCGGTTGATTCTCGGTCTGTAGACTACTCTCACTCTCTCATCTCCCAAAAACCATTATTTTATATTAATACCGGACCCTGGTGCGTGATCGCTGATTATAACAATTACCGGTGAACCGTCGTTGACAATAATCTTTCCATGGGTTCAGGTTCCTCATACATTTTAATAATTCGTTCAACTTGCAATCGAATGTTATTTAAACGTGACAATGATTTTCTTGAAACCCATTGTTAGATAATAGAAACCATAGACAATAAAAAATAAAAAGACCTTCAAAAGTATAGCCGAAATAGGTTATACTATCACTGCGTATCCGGTTGCGCATACCGCATTGCGGAATTTTTGGAAAGCTAG